CAGTTTTCTGGAAGTTTGTTCCAGATAAGTGGAGCATAGGAACTAAATGCTGCTTCTCCATGTTTAGCCTGAATCAAAGGTAAATTATTATTATATATAAAATGCAATAGAGTTTAAGATCCTGATATACTTTCTAAATAAATAAAAACACAATAAAACATGATAAGAAGACAGAATTAAGGTGTGAAGCTGATTCAAAGAATGGCTTTAAAGTTTCCATGACCTTATCAGCAGAGTGACGCCTCTTCCCCTCCTGTCTTTGCATGCAGACGCACTGATGCCCAAACTGGGCAGGAGGACAGGAGCTGAGAGGCTGCAGCGTGCATGAGGGCGGTAACACGACCCCAGCTGAGCGGCTCAGCCCATTCTTTATGTCTGCAGACGTTTGACAGCATATATAAGAGCCAGAGGCTGCAGAGAAGACAGACAGACAGACAGACAGAGAGGGACGCTCGCCATCCCTGCAGGACACCAGTGGACCTAAATCTGCCCCCAGGCTGCTCAGAACTTCTCACAACCAGAATGGGACTGCTGAGTGTGGAGGAGCTGGTAGGTTCTCCTAAATTAACTGAGAATGAAGGTGTGCAGGATCAGAGAAAGGCTTTCATTTGAAATTAAAAATCCTCCATAGCTCAGACTTTACCGTGGATGCTGCACGCTGCATGTTGTGTTTTGATATTTCAGTCCCTAAATTAAAAATGTAAGTCTGAATAAGTGAACATCTCTTAAATTAAGTGCATTTCTCTTGAATCGAGCAGGCAAGTGAGACACTTTGGATATAGAACAAGACGATTTACATTTAAAATAAGAAAAAAACAACTGCAGTCTCTTATTTCAAGTGCATAATAGCTTATTATTTTATTTTAAGGCTAAATACATTCATTCCATCGGCGAATCGTCCCATTTACCCACTCATATTAAGGATAAATACGCTTATTCTAAGATTTTTTTTTATTTATTTTAGGCTTGTTTTTTCAGTGTGGATGTTGCAGCGTTTAAGCGCATGTTTTGTGTTTTGATATTTCAGTCTATAAGTTATAAGTCTTTTTTTTTCATAAAACCAGTGAGTTTGTTCTTTAATTAAACAGGTAAGTGAGATATCTTGCCAATGGAAGAAGACGATTTACATTTAAAATAAGAAAATATAAATGCTTTGTCATATTTCATGTGCATTTTATCTAGTTATATTATTTTAAGAGTAAAAATAATAATTCCATTGGCAAATCATCTTATTTATCTACTCAAATTAAAGGTGAATACACTTAATTTAAGACATTTTTAACGTACTTCTAGATTGTTTTTACAGTGTAAATACTTCACTGGAAAAAATTCTAAATAACTCTTGAATTGAGGATATAAGTGGGAAACTTTCCTAATGCAAAAAGATGACTTACATTTAAAATAAGAAAAAATTATTGCATCGTCTTATTTCAAGCGCATATTGTCTTGTTTTAAGAGTGATAATCCACGTCCACAGGCAAACTATCTCATTTACCTGCTCAAATTAAGGCTAATAAACTTAATTTAGGAAATTTTGACTAATTCCTAGATCAGTTTTGCATTGTTTAGTGTAAATTAATTAAAGATTCTACTTTTTAAAATCCAAATTTGTCCAAATATTCCCTACATCTTGTAAAATCCATGAGGGCGGGGTTTGTGTGTCTCACCTTTATGATTCCCTCCTCCAGGTGACTGGAAAGAGGTCAGAGGGCAGAGAGGCCAGCGACTTCCAGGGGGGCGCGTACGAGGCGGCCGTCAACCAGGAGAAGCAGGATGAGCGGGGGTCGCTGGCAGGAGGAGGTGGGCCGCAGGAGGAGCGGGAGGAGGTCAGCGTGGCGGCTCTGAATGTGAGTGAAGCAGCAGCTTCCTTCTCCTCCATGAACAAACCAAACCTTTTCCACATCAGTCAGCAGCTGGTTGCTCGCTGCCTCTGACATCTAACTGGCTCTAAACAAAAAAAACATCTCAGTCATTTTTACAAGATTAGGAAACTAATCTAAAGGGAAAAAACCAGGAAACATTTTTACACCGTTTTACTTTTAACTTAAAATAACACCTATCAGACCGATGTTTGCTGAAGACAATTATAAAACATTAAATCATTATCTAATGTTTATCTTAAAGTTTTCTCTCAGTTAGTTTAATAAGTTACCAAATTCTAATTGACTGTCAAAACATTACACTGGAAAAAATAGAAATCTAGATAAGTCATTTTTTCTTAAAATAAGTGCATTTATTCTTGGATTGAGGAGATAAAAGAGACATTTTGCCAATGGAACAAGACAATTTACACTTAAAATAAGAAAACACAATTGCATTGTTTTATTTCAAGTGCACTTTATCCAAGTATCTTATTTTAAGAGTAAAAATAATCCTTCCATTGGCAAATTATCATATTTACCTGCTCAAATTAGGGGTAAATACACTTAATTTAAGACATTTTTTCCTATTTCTAGATCGTTTTTCCAGTGTAAACCTTTAAACTCTTTTACATAAGAAAAAAAGGGATAAAAAGACAACTAAAATTATTTATCTTTAATAACTACGCTGCAAAAACAATCAATAAATAAGTAAAAATGTCTTGAATAAAGTATATTTAGCCTTAATTTGAGCAGCTAAATAATATTACTTGCCAATGGAATCTTTTATTTATTTTTACTGTATTATTGCATTTTTACTTGAAATAGGTCAATGCAACTGTTTTTTTCTTAAGTGTAATCTGTCTTGTTTCGTTGGCAAAGCGTCTCACTTTCCTCCTTAATAAGAAAAATTACTTTCTTAGGTTTCTATTTTTGCAGTGTGCAGGAATCAAATTGTCCCAGTATGAGGTTGAATCTAAAACAATCTGAGTGCTTAATGTTTGGGTTTTTCATTATCAAGGTATGAAAACATATTTTTCTCAGAAGTTCAAATTGTACCTCGGTATACGGAAGAGAATTAGGGCCACAATTTTTTTTTAAGTATTTCAGTGTAATATGAGGAAAAATTCAGAATTCTGACTTTTTTCTCAGAATTCTGACAGCTCACAAACCGTTTTCATGACTGTTTTAGAGACTAGCTCTCTTGTTTTCTCTTTTGCTTTTCCATTAATTAAATAGCATCACCGGGATCCCTCAGGGACGTAAAAAAAAAAAACCTCAGATCTTTGTCAGTGAAGCTGAGTGCTCCATATCTTTGCCTTCATGGAGCCCATCTTAAGATCCACAATTCTGGGATAAAAGTCAGAGTTCTGACTTTTTTCCCATATTAAACTGAAATAATATTCAAAAAGAAGTTACTTTTTTTTTTCCAGTGGCCCTAATCCTCGTCCGAGATTCAGAACTTTAAAAAAAACCACTATATTCTGTGGCATATTTTCTGGTGGCCAAAGCTCACCGAACCCTGGAAACGATTCTTTAAACCACTGGAGTGATTTAAATAGTAATCTGCTCAGATCTGTGCAGCAGTCGAGAACACCTTTTTTAATTTTTTTTATTTTAGCCTTTAAAGTGTCATTAGTTTTTTATTTACTAAACATGTTTATGATATTTGTAAGATTATTTATTAGTGCAAAAACTTTGTTTCTGATCAAATCTGACGTTAGATGTCAGTTTTATTCAGCTTCTACTCATTTAGCTTTTATTAAATACAGATTGGATCATTATAATAAGCTACTGTTGAAATGGGACAAAGATTGCTTTGTTTTTAATAGTGTATCTGGCGCCATCTAGAGGTATGCAAACTCATAACATTTAATTAATTAGTGACTCTAAAGTTGGTGATTTAATCCTTTGGCTTTTAAGACAATCATATTATTTCTAAACTGAATGTCTGCAGCTAGATATAGATTTAAAACTAATTGTTTGTATAAAATCTATATATTTTTTAGAATAAAGTTCAGCAATAAATATTACAGCCTCTAAAGGTTAAAGGCCACTTTAATAGGACTAACAGCAAGCTTTCAGGAACTCTAAAAAAAGGGGTTGGGGCTGAAAAGATAGCTGGAAGGAATCAACTCTATCGCTGCATTCTAGGTTTTTGGTCCAGTCTTGGTCGTAGAGGTTGTGTTCTTTGTTAGTTCTTTCTTTTTGACTAACTGCGTACCATCACACTGGAAAAACCATCTAGAAATAAGTAAAATTCCTTAAATTAAGTCTATTTACCCTTAATTTGAGTCAGTAAATGAGATAGTTCGCCAATGAAATGAGTATTTTTACTCTTAGAATAATATAATAAGATAATATGCACTTGAAATAAGATAATGCAATTGTGTTTTCTTGGTTTAAGTGTAAATTGTCTTGTTCTATTGTCTTTTACTTCCTCAATCCAAGAACAAATGCACTTATTTCAAGAAAAAATGACTTATCTAGATTTGATTTTTTTTCCAGTGCAGGAAACTTACCTTTGATTCTGTTGAACTTTTTCAAAGTTTACTCTGTAGTTTGCTGTTGAAGCTGTTTTGCAAGATAACTTGTAACCAGATGCATTTATTGGTTTATTCTGAGCATCTTCCCAGCATTACCAGTTTGCTGTAAGAAAGGAAACTTTTTTTATGAATTACTTTCTAAAACTTGCATGTTTCCTGCCAGAACGAGCAGTTAAAGTTCTGTGAAGTCTTTGTTCTGTTGGATTGTCTGGAGTTGAAGAAACTTTCTGTTCTGTTTTTTTCTGTGACAGACGGATAGAAGCGGGAGGCTGAAGCTGGAGACGGTGGATGATCTGTTCAACATCCTGCAGCTGAGGAAGAGGAGGAAGGAGAGGAAGTCTTCTGTCTGCAAGAAAACTGAACCGGAACCAGAACCGGTGGTACGAGCGTTCTGCTCCCGTTTCTACCGCTTCCATTCATGAAGCTGAAGATAATAAATGTGTTTTTAGTCGACTGAGATCTGGACTCCTGTTAGATGGACTAACAACGGGTCATAGACCGGACTGAACCTGTGTGTCCTGCACAGGCCAGCTGACAGCTTTCCCAGGGCCCCGGGATAACACAGGCTTTTTGGCCCCCCCCCCATCTATTGAATTTAATGCACTTGTTAAACCTTTCTCTTCTTCATAAGAGAACAGAAAGCATAGCAGGGAAAACATTGTCTTTTTTGAGCTGCTGTATATCAGGCAGTTCCTAACTATTTCCCCTCCATTGTGGGAAATAGAATAGATACCTGAAGATTTTAAAACAGGATTTTTTTAAACTAGAAATGTTCTCAATTTTGGGACAATTTGGTCTGATAAAGAGTAGAATTATATACATGTTTAAGCCAGAATAATCAGACATTTAAATATGAGTTTCCTAGGACTTTAAAGAAAACATATTTAAAATCTGCAGTGTGTTCCTTACAGCCAGAGACGGTGGACGAGCAGCTCTTTCTGACGGCAGTCATGGAGAACAAGCTTCCTGTGGTGGAGAAATACCTGAGCGATGGAGGAAACCCCAACGCAGCAGATCATGTGAGAGACAGACAGCAACATGGGACTCTACACTGGAAAAACCATCGAGAAATAAATGAAAATGTCTCAAATTAAGTGTATTTACCTTTAATCTCAGCAGGTAAAGGAGAAAGTTTAGCAATGGAATGAGTATTTTTACTCTTAAAATAAGATAATTAGATAATATGCACTTAAAATAAGACAATGCAGTTGCCTTGTCTTATTTCAAATGTAAATTGTCTTGCTCCATTGACAAAATGTCTCCTTTACCTCCTCAATCCAAGAACAAATGCACTTATTTTAAGAAAAAAATGACATCTAGATTTAGATTTTTTTCCAGTGTACGACCCTTACACTGCATAAACGATCTAGAAATAAGTCAAAGATTCTTAAATGAAGTGTATTTACCCTTACTTTGAGTAGGTAAATAAAATGATGTGCCAATAGAATGAGTATTTTTACTCTTAAAATAAGATAATGGCATAATATGCAATTGAAATAAGAGAATATAATTGCTTTGTCTTATTTCAAATGTAAATTGTTTTGTTCTGGCAAAGTTTCTCACTTACCTCCTCAGTTCAAGACAAAACACACATATTTTAAGAAATTTCATTTTTTTTTTGCAGTGTAGAGGTTATTCAGGAAGGATGCAAGAACAGTTTTTAATTTTTATTTTTTATGTCCAGTTTCAGAGAACGGCTCTGCATAAAGCTTCCTTCAAAGGACATGTGGAGGTGATGAGAAGACTTCTGGAGGCCGGAGCTGCCATCCAGCAGAAAGACAAGGTCCTACACTGCAAAAAATCTAAATCTATACAAGTC